TTTAGGTGTCTTCCTACAATTACAATTATGAAGATAGATTTTTTCCCTTAATGAAATCTATTACTTAAAGATAGATTTTGAAATAAAACAATGTTCAATTTTTCGAAAATTTGAGTTTTTTCGAGTAATTTTGCGTGGAAGTACGGGCGTTAGTGCTGTTTTAGCACCACTAGTTGAAAATGAAAACAGCTTCGTAATGCAACTCAGATTCAACCGATTGAGAGCTACCGTGCGATGCCGAGATAGCGAAAGGATAGAGATGCGACGTCGATGCTTTCGAAACATTGATCTGTTTATTAAATCATCGATACATTTAACATCCATTTTTTGGAGCCGATGTTTTGTGTTCGATGTTTTTTCGTGGTTAGTATTTTATTTGTGATTGCAAAACGTTCCAGTATATTTTAATAGTTTTGAAGTATCCATAAATTGAATTAACATCGATATTTTTATTTCAATGTTTTGTTGGCGTTGGGACGTCGTGTCTCTACTATTCTCCCAAATTACAAGAGAATGTGCAACTATGTGTCATTTTGTAGATTTTGGTAAATGAACTCGAATCCCGAAGTGCACAAAAACCGAGTGTAAGGGTCTAATTTTATTTAATTTCGCATAATATTCGTAATCCTATTTATCAGAAGCCAGCATTAACAGAAGGCATATAGAGTTCAACCAATGCCACCCAGCGGATAGTTACTTAGGTCTCCCAAGGGGCATTGGTTAAGCACAAACAGTGAGACTTTAAACGAGCATGTCCTCAGATTCAATTTATTAAAGAAGTGTCATCAATGTTCAGTACCTGTCCTTCTTTCTTACTATCTTTATAATTAGTACAGTTGTCATACGGGAATTCAGTCTTCTGATTTTTTTTCTACGTTTTGGATACAAATTATGGCATGTGCGATTTACAGTCACCTTCCCATGGGTTGTCTCGGCACAGTAATGTACACAAGTTGGGGTAACTTGCCCCAGGCCCCGACTAAGTTGGGGCCCCGATTTGTTTGATTTGTTTTTCGTTCAAAAGAAATTTTAAAACATATCATTCTCTAATTCGAATTTAATGCTGTACGTTATTTCTGATGTATGGAAAAATGAATTCTGTTTATGAATTGGGGAGGAGGGATTTTTTTGTTTGAAATGAGGGGATCAATTGCCCCAGGCCCTTGATTATCTCTGGGCGCCCCTGGAAACATGAAATAGAACCAGTGGGACTGGTGCTCCCGCCCTCAAAAAGGGCCTAAGAGGTAACAAAATCGGAATCCGATCTTGAGAGACTTAACTTAAAAATACTTCTACACCATTCTCGTACACTTCCACACGCTTACGTAAGATAACCAACTTCGTACATTTCTTCCACTACACTCTTGATTAGAAATTCATAATATACTTTATCAACAATGTTTGACAAATTTATTTGCCTCTGCTGTTAAGCTTTTGTGGCAACGTCAGAGAAGGTAAAGGTGTGACAAATTCTTGAACTTTTAATTTTTCTTTCGCATTGCGATTTTCAAAACGATTCCTTAATAAACACTGTATATTGCTCATCTTTCTACTGCTACATTGCACGACACTACTACACAATAACAAATACAATAACACCCTTTTTACACATAGTTACACGACGACACAGGCGATAACAAAGAACTATTTCAGTGGGTGAAACATTGAAAAACTTACCAATGTCTATTATTAATATAATGTTCCTACAATTCCCAAAAAACACGGTTCTTATTTGTTTATTTCTAAACAAATTTAACCGTTCTCGATATTTTCAGTTAGTATGCTAGCCTATCAAATGGTAATGAACTAGAACCTTACATAAAATGCGAATCAATGATTTTATTGAAAGTGATTGGGACTCCTGTTCTCAGGGATTCACCTTTCTCGTTCTGCGTACGGAAAACGCAGAGGAAAAGATTCCCATGATTGAAGTGCGGCAGAGAGCGGCCAAGATCCCCGTAAGGTCCCGATTCGATTTGCACATTGCCGATCGCTTATGCCGACCTGCATTTTAAAGCATATACATAACTTTGGTCCTTTCTACGTTTCGCATGCCCCCTCGTCAACAAAAGCTCGCTTAGAGCTGGTTTGGAACACGTCGTTAGCCGAATTAATACGCTCCGGCAAGTCACGGAAGTTAAGCAATTCTAGACACCGCGGATTCTTGGGCAGGTGAGGTGACGTCTGGGAATCCCCGTTACTAACGGCACCGAGCCCTTTGCCCAAGGAATAAAACGCACAGACTGCGAGGTGACGAGACAAAAAGTTAACGGAGAAATACTCCAATACACCCAATGTCCAAGACGGGTTAAAGAAATGAGTTGCATAGACAAACACACAACAAATTTAAAAATAAAAATAAAATGTTTAAAAAAGTGAACGCAGGTGCGATGCGTTGTTAGGCAAGGGCATTGACCCTCGCAATAGTCCGCGCCGCACTGCGTTTTCAGCAAAGTAAATCTATCTTGATTTCTAGTATAATGTTCAACCATTGATTATTACCTTCACCATCGAATAAATGAAAGCCGTATTTTAGAGGAGGTTATGTGAACCAATGAATCACTAGCATGCGCCGCCCCTGACACCTAGCCTGCACGCCTTTTGACGCATTTTATGTTTTGGATAATACATTTGTCTTTCGAAATTGTAATTCCTCTCATTAAGTTTATTAATCATTTGTATTTTACGCTCAATACTTTTATTACGTCCTGTGTTTCGTACTAACAGACATTTATCTTCTAACGTTGTGAGTGTATGATCAATTTTTGTACTAACTGCATATTATGTGTCTTGTGTGCTACATAAGTGACAAGTACATTAAGAAATAATGCTACTCGTAGTGTAATATCAAAAATTACGTAACTCTAATTAGGAGGATGGGGTCTGAGGCAGCGTTATGCTGCGTTACATAGGGGTAGGGGGTGTTATTTAAGTGTCATGTAACATTGACATTTTATTTTTTTGTTCCTTTACATTTTTCAACATTTGCTGAAATAATCCCTTTAAGTTTTGTACTAAAACATTAAAATATTAAGTAACTAATTTGTTTTAAAAACAAATAAATTAAAGTTAGTAGACGTAAATTATTACAATAAATGGAAATATGTTTTCAACAATTTTTTACTGAATCTGTAGGGTTACAAAGAAAATATATGTAGAAACAACTGATCCGTTGTATATTCTAGAATCCATTAAAATTGATGCGTAGATTCTCGCTCATGTGTCATCCACGACACCGAGTGCACGGTTGGTGATGAAACATTTTTTTGCCCATGCGTGCTTCCATCACTCATAACTTGCCCCAATCTTTTTGTTAGGAGCAGCCAGCATCAAAAACTAATTTATACTTTAATTATCATTACTTTTAATTTACAACACAAGTAAAATAAATATTAATTGTGCTATAATTTATTTCACTTCTTGCATTTACAAGCGGGAGGGGGTATTGTCGCAAGATTTGCTTAATTTATTTAGGGATGTTCAAGCGCGCGGCATGGGTGCGTTTTGGGGGGAAAAGGGCTACTGAAAATACTCCAAATTTGCATTACGTAAGTCTTGGATGGCCCCTAAGGAAGCTCCCAGGGCATAAAAACAAGTATTTTGTATAACCGCGCGCTTCGTTCTTGACACTGAGGCATTCGCCAGTTTCTCCCCCCTCACAAGTCTATCAAAATCACAAGCATACATGTGTGGCCTCATGGCTCCTCCCATGAAAATTGCTCTCCCACCCTGAAAATTTTGAAAAGGGGTCCCATATCCCTATATAATAACATTCTTATTGTTAATAAGTTAAATCCCTAATTTTCCCATTTTTAACCTGACAATTTGGAGAATTGCAATTCATATAACATGTTACATGACTTTTGGGGAAGAGGATACTCACGCCATATGGAAATTCTGTAAATAATTTTCATAAAACCATTAATGTTTACTAATTGCGCCATTAAAACAACATAACTTGACAACGTAACATTTCTCCGCTCGACTTTCACTAAGGAACTCCTGTCAATACCAATCACCCAATTTGCATTGCCATCACACAAAAACGAAAGGCAGACAATTATAATGGCAAAACCCTTTGTTAACTATGGGCATTGAAATACCAAACGTTTATTAGGAGCTATTATCCCATGACAGTAACTTTTCTTTAATGTTTAAATTACAAAATTCGAATCATACCATATACAGTTTTTAAATCATCTAAATTTGAAGACGGAAAGGAGGATATTTTATATTTAGTGGTTGGTATTCCTGAAAATTAACATAACTTTTCAAAAATGTACCTAAGTGAAGTGAGAATAAATAAAAACAAAAATTAATAAATAAATAAAATTAAAATAGTCATGAAATAGTTCTTTAAAAACTTTTTTAAGCAGTTACAATTTTTTTGTGGCTTGCTCTTTATAAAATGTAGTCATTGGAGACTAAAAATATGATCATGTCACAGACGATAAACACAGTTGATTTAATTAGAATTAGGCATTTTACTCATGCATTCAGTGAAAACTATTCCTTGATTCAAAATGTGTTTATAAATACAAGTATCGTTTCTCCTTTTACGGCAATAATAATTTTTAATGACTAAAAAACACTACACTAACAAAATTTTATTTCATTGATCTCAAATGCAAAATGTAAATGTCATGCTTTGAATCATCCTCTTGTTTCGTGATCACGGTATCATTTAGAAGTTAGTGCATGTGTCGAAACAAAAGAATCGATGTATTCCTGTGATTCGTTTTTCTTTTGCACTTCGCCGCCATTCCCTAAACAGTGACGAACGTAAAAGAATTGTCGTGGTGTGATTTGAATAAGACTGAATCTTAATCTGGCACATCTTGTGTTCGATTTGACAAATATAGGTTTGGTGTGGTATTACATTTTTGAAGCTTGGTTCAAGAATACATATGGTAATGGAGAAATCGGATCAAATATTATTACTAGAACCCCGTTATGAACTGAAATTTAGAGGTCCTTTTACGTCACCAGTCACCTCGTACATGAAACTGACGAATCCATCAAGTATGAGAGTCTTGTTTAAGATAAAAACAACTGCACCGAAGAAGTATTGCGTACGACCCAATTCTGGGATTCTTGAAGCTAAAGATTCTATACAAATTGCTGTGTGTTTACAACCATTTGAATTCGATCCTAATGAAAAAAACAAGCATAAATTTATGGTTCAAACAATGATAGTACCTGATGGCGATATAAATCCGGACGTGCTATGGAAGGAAGCACATCCAGATAGTCTCATGGATTCGAAGTTAAAGTGCGTTTTTGAAATGCCAGAAAATATTCCTTCTTCACCAGATAGTAACATGAATGTGGGAGATAATCGAAAGGATACTAATATGAAAAATATTTTTGAACCACCATCAGGATATAATATACCAACTTCTATAGAAAACACTGTTGAAAATCTTTCCTTATATGATAAGTCTAAAATACATGAAAGTGGTGATAAATATGGTTCCATGTCAAACTCCTTAACAGATGAACTCTTAAAAACAAATAATCAACTTAAAGATTCGCCTAATGATGAAAATTCATTGCGTCGAGAAAATCTGGTGTTAAAACAAGAGTTACTTCAGTTGCGGCGTGCATCATTTACTGGAGATCAATCAACGAATGCCACTGGTTCTGGATCAATTTTCCAATCTATACTATTTCTGATTCTGTCCCTTGTAATGGGTGTTGTAGGTTACTTTGTGGGAAAATATTATTTATAAAATGTTTCTCTATGAGGTGATCCACATGATATCTGTATGAAAAAACTTTGTAATAAATATTTAAAAACAAAAACTTTTCTGAGTGACATTTCACTCTGTTTTAATTAAATTTGAAACAAAATTTTAAGAGATTTCATGATGTTATAAACACATCAAAGGTCTATATGCTGAGAGGGTTTTCTGAGAAAAAGTTTCTAAGGATTGATCAACAATTAACTTCTTCAAAATTAATATGCAAATTCCCAAGAATGTGTAAATAAAAGTTATCAATTTATGTGTCTTTTAATAAATTTGCCTAAAAAAATAAATTCTCATCCTTTTGGTGTTGGACATCATTATCAAGTTTTTAACAACTGTTTTATGTAAGCTACATAGTCTTCAAATTCAAGTCTTTTCTTGTAATATGTTTCTTATATTATGTAATTTAGTTGCTAGTCTTTGGTTTTGTGTAACAGTAAAAAGTTAGCAGTAATGAAATGTATAGTGACTTACATTTGAATGCAAGATCTGTAATTATTATATCTGTAATAAATTTTTTATGAATTCATTGAATGATTTTTTACTCACAAATTATATTTAAGGCATGTGGCTTTCAATAATGGTTTCTGATATTTTCAGGGAAAATTAAATGATAGCTTTTATGAAGGAAGGGAAATAATGTTTTTTACATTCCAAGTGGATTTAAAAAGAGATGGCAATGAAAATTAACTTGTTAATTATGGCAAGTGTAGCTTGTTTCTTGTTAACACCTGAATGTACATATATTTACCATAAAAAATATTCTTATCTTTGCCATGACATTAAGAATTCAAGCAATCCTAAGGAGGACCGCATAGAAAAAGAAAATACTTCCCTGACCAAAAAAAACTGTTTTAGAAATAAGAAGTGGAAGACTATTTTTTGTTAAAAGTACAGCTCTTAGCTTTTCTGCTTCTTTAATGACATTCTCTGAAATTAATGATAACTAATTAAAAAATCTCCTACCATCACATGAAATTAATTTTATATATGATATGACCAACTTTTTCTACATGCTAAATATTATCTAGATCAAATTCTTGAATACTTCTTTTTGACATTTTCATAACTCAACCACAAGAACCACTGCACCACACTACTATCTTCAGCATTGGAAAAGCAGGCAAAATCATGATTCAAACTAAAACAATGAAACACAACAATACAAGAAAAATGCATTTTAACAATGCTGAATTCCATATTTCCAAGATATTTCTTTAAAACGAACTACTGAAACATCAAATACTACAAGTAGTCTATTCAGACCCCCAATAAAAAAAATTAATGTTGAAACTTGTAAATGTAATTAAAAACTGTTTGATAATCTTCAAGTGATGGATATATTTGAAACATTAAAAATTGCCACTATGATATAACATTCCAAAAATACTCCAATATAACATTTTATCATCCTATCTGTTAAAAATTAGAAAGTGCCCAACTAGACCCTCTTAGCATTAGGAAGGTTAAAATAATTTTAATTTATTTTTCCTGCTAAATATGCTTTCTGAATTAATATTGCATATCATTTGGATTATTAATTTTTGACTGAATTCAGTTAAACATAACTACAATTATAATAATTATTTATCACATCATTGTGTTGACATCGAAGGAAACTTTTTCCAAACAAATACAAATTTGGTATTTAATTTCTACATAAGTATTCAATGTGTTTGTTGAAGGCCAGGTTCTGATCAAAGTCTATACCCAAAATCTTGGGTGCTGAATGCAACTAATTCATCAGTAGTGGTTACTTTAGGGTTTGTGTTACAATGGATAAATAGAATTATTCTCTCGCAGGGGCAGATCCAGCCAATCATTTTTTGGTGGGAAGCATCATAGATTTCTGTTAAAAAATAAACATGTGATGAATTGTTTATTATTTTTGTAGTGTATATACCAAACTACACAATATTATTTTTTAAATAATTACATAATTCTAACAAAAAAAATTGATCAATTTTGCCAAATGAAGGTAACAAACGAAAACTTTCGGTCTTTCTTAGGGGGGCATGGCCCTGTAGCCCCCCTCTCCCCGGATCCAACGCTATTCTCTTAGCAAATTTCTTGTGATTTCTTTAAGGCAGAAATAGCCAACTGGCAATTAGTGACATTGTTTTATACGGACCCAACAGATTAAAAACATGATTTTTTTATACATTAATATTTTATTCTTCAAACAAAATGCTTTTTTTCATAAATCTCTTTATGAGTCCAAGCAATGTATACATTTTAGGACACATTTCAAGACCCGGGGAGAAGAGGACTCTGGGTATGTCAGGGTTTAAAAGGGCGTGAACATAACTGTGTGGGCATGAACATAACTCACCAAAGTGTGCCATGAGAAATGCTACGATTATTTTTAAAATATGAGGTAGTTGTTGCCAGCACTGTAAATTGGTACATGCCGTTCCAAATCGAACCTAAGTATTTTAATGTGCCGTGCTATACAGCGCTGAGTGAGGAGTAGGTTTATCAAGAAAACTTACGCGAGTAATAGTCTGCAAATGAATGCGCAATTCTTAGAATTAGTTGTGTTGCCCTCTTCATTTAAAACAAAAAAAGGGGATAAGCCATTCCTGTTGTAAAGGATGACAGATTTTGTTCACAGTTTATTCGATATTATCGAATTGTTTGGGAAATAATTCATTTGTAATATAACATTTAAAAAATCTTAAAAAAACAATCGGTTTCGATTAATCTTCCGCAAATAACTATTGTTCGCTCAGAGAAATAAAGGTAGTGAAATAATTGTAGGTAATCTAAATATAAACAGTGATAATCAAACTTTACTCTACGAAAACCTTCGGCCTTGATACGAATCTTAGTTCCTTCGTTCACCGCGTGGTATCGCTGAAGTTCAATTGAACCGATTACACCCTAACTCAAAACATACTGGCACTTGAAAGTCAACTGGGAAACACTCATCTATTAAATAACTTCGTTACAACTTTACATTTTAGGTATGGGAGCACTCGATTAGATAACAAATACTTTCCAGCTTTTGACTTAAAAGTGCCACTGTGGTTAAATCGGAGTGTATCTGTTGATTTTTTTCGGAGACTTCCACCATTACTTCCAATACCAGAGTTGAGTCTCCTCCACAGCAACACCATATTCGTTCATGATATACTATTTGTAGTCTACGCCACGGAATAATATATTTTTCCTTTCTAAGGTTCTTCAGGCTGTGCAAAAATTATTTTGTTCGATAATATATAACTTTCACCCTCTGTATAATTTCTCCACAGAGGTGGCAACACTGGTAACAAACAACGGATGAGCGCGCCTGTGGTGCAGCCCTATTACGATATGAATCAATAGGAATAAAACTCCTGGTGCGACCATTCTATTGTGCGAAGAAAATATAAAAAAAATAGTAACATTGCTGGGCATGGCAGAAACGTGTTATAACCTTTCACGATTTTATGGAAAAATATACCTTTACTCTCCATTTCTTAACATCTCTACTTCATGTTCTTTCACATCTTAATTAAAAAGAAGAAAAATGAGCGAATCTTGGAAACGCACAGTAACTAGCGTCTCTGATAAATTATTTCCTGGTTTGGCGTTTTATCATCCTTATGCTGAAGATGGAGGTTTACATTTAGGTGTGTTACTCTATTGGTGACTGAAGGTCCGACTTCTAATTTCAAACAAGTGACATGATTCCCTTATAAGAATGTCATATTTTTCTGTTTCAGGCAATCAGATAGTATCTGATTTACCACTGCAAATGTCTCTTTACTTTAATATAGTATTTTACCCGTTTTGGCTAGTGTCCAGCATTGTTATGTTATCTTTAAAGGTAAGTTTTTGATATAAGAATTGAATTACGTAGTAATACCAGTCACTAACTAAACTACTTATTTTCAGTATGAATGCCTCACCAGTATGTATCGCTTCCTAGTTGTCACAATTTTTGTCTTTGTTATTGTAGTAGAATGCCTAAGACTGTATTTGGGCTATGTAGGAAACCTTAATGAAAGAGTAAGTATTATAGATTAATGTATATGTTACATTTTCTCAGTTATGTCATCTTACATAATATTTGTTTTCTAGATACCAGAACTAGCAGGGTTTTGGATGTTGTCTGTGCTACTTCAATTGCCTCTGCAGCTGTTTCTCTTTATAAATGAAAACACTTTACCACAACCTTTGGATCGCATCATGCAGCTTATCATGATAATTATGTTATTAATTCAACTCTTCACGGGTTTTAAAGCACTTCGTACTGCAGCACGCTACCAAGCAAATCGGTTTCACATAATGAAATTTCAATTAGTGTCAGAATCAAAAAGTGACCTTGATTTAAGGCTGAAGTCAGAGTGATTATTTATTTAAAAACTTATTTTAATGAATTTTAGCTTGAATGTAAATAGCAAGTAGATTGAGTCACACAGTGGATGAGTGTCACATTCATACACAAAGCCATAAAATGTTTGAGGATTTTAGTTTTATTATTTATATATTTCACTTCTATTTTTTCTACTTTTGAGAAAATATTAAATACATGTGTACAACCACACAATTATAAAGTACCGACAAAAATAGCAAAAGATTATATTTTAGATGGATTTACAATATTATATATTTTAATTATATTGAAATAAGAAATTAAAAAACTAGAGAATCCTGCAATGTAAGAATTTTGACTTGATATTTTTAGCCAAGCAAGCACATTTTCCCAAACTCTTCCAATTAATTTTCTTATTTTTGTTCATCTCATTCCCAAAATAGACTGAACAGTTCCAATCAGGACCAGACATTTGTGATACAACTGACCACCAAAAAAAGGTTATAAATAATAAAAAGATAATTAAAAATTATTAATTAGACATAACAAATACATAACTCAATAGGGCATAAAGTGTTTTTGCTAGTTAAAAACAAAAAATTGAAATGGTCCAAAATTATGAGTATATTAAGAAAAAAAATAGTGACTGATTGACTCGAAAGAAAAAAAGAAATGCTAGGTGCAACAATAGTTTAATGACTCTCTAGGCTTTGATCGCTTAAAAAAATTTAAAATAATAATAATAATAATAATAATAATAATAATAATAATCCTGTGTCAACAAGCCCATAAAATAGATGATGAAATGACTGAAAATGCCATTTAAAATAAATGAGCTACAACTGATCTATTTTGAAATTTAACATGCCCAGATCTTACATAATGAAATTGCTGATCAGATCAACAGTCCATATGTAAATTTTATAACTTTGTAAAAAAATACAATTACTCAATATTACATTTGTTACATTAATTCATTGTTGGGCATTAGTATCACTCTACACTAATGGGGACATTTTCCCTAGTTACAATAATGATCCCATGCATAACCAATGAGTGCGGGAGGAAGGGGGCCTCTGAAGCCCACAAATTAAATATTTAATTAAAAATTTGATATATTAATAGATTTTTCTGACATGCTTGTTTATTATTCAAACACAAAATATGATTCTATTGCAGGTTTTGTAAATGCAAAAAGGATTTCATGTAAAAAAGGCAGTTATATCTTCCTGCAACATTTTATAGTTCACCATATTTAGCCTACCTGAATATATGACAATGATTTTCTCTAATTTCTCATTCGAAAAATTCAGAATCGTTTTATATTCGAAAATTAAGCCTTGTTGGTTATGATTTATATTTTTACATTGCCTGTCTTTGAAAAGAAGAAATTAAAATGCTGATTATGTATGGTGGAAAGACCATAGAGTAACGAATTACTCACCATTGGAAAATGATGATTTAATAGTTTAAGATAAAACAGGTTTTGAACAAGACATATTTTTAAAAAAACAGCAGGTATTAAATTTATTCATCAAATATAAACATTTTTGATTCATACATTTAGAATACAATATTACATTTAAAGAAAAAGAATCTGGTGTTTAACAATTAAAAATTTTAGGTGAAAAATATGCTACACTGCAAATATTGCAACAAATATGTACAATTCCAGATTAGAATTAAGATTTCAAAAATTCTGTTTATACAAAATAATGTAACACAAAATCCACCAAATAATTCTACAAAATGCATTATTTTCACACATTTCAATCTTGAGGCCAAAGTTAACTATTTCTAATGTTATTTCATTGGTTTAAAACAGGAAAGACACTGTTCTGACTATATTATAGTTATCACCATAGTTATCACAAATGATGATGCAAGGTTATTGCTATGCCAAACATAATATTGTAATTCAGTTTACAATTATTTTAACTTCACTAAGGCTAAATTCAATTTTTTTCTCTAATTTTTGTTCATACCAAAACCTTAATTGAAAAAATGATACTACTTCCCATTGCACTGATGTCAGTTTAAAGGAAAGGGAGAATTCAACTACTCAACGTTCAAGTGAAGAATTATAAAATTTTACTCACTCTTTCATGAAGTTAATTACAAGGATAATGCACAAGGCATTGGTTATGTGAAAACACATAATAGGAAGAAAAAGACCACGCCTACCTTTCATTCAGATAAAATTGAAAAACAATTTGAAATCAGAGAGGTAAGAGTATGAATACACTAGCACTGCACCACATCCTCACACTTCATCAGTTTTGGGGGAGGCACAAGGCGAACTCATATTCAATAGAAATAAATGACATATAAAAATGGTTGATAATCCCATGTGCTAACAATTTAAGAATTCGTAAAGATTTAAAATATGTTTCACTGAACTGGTTCACCGAGTAATAAAACACCCCTCTGACTGAGAGGCTTTAACAAGAGTAAATTTAAAAGTGGTTGTATGAAAGTATAATATCTAATACATAATATAAGAAATTAAAATCTAATCTCCATGAAATAAATTTTAGAGAGCCACTTCTCAAAGCTCTTGTTTGAAGTTGGGCAAACCAAATATGAACTGTATAGGCTGTTTACAACTTCAAGTTTGACAACCACAAAGAAGCCCAAAGATGAAGTTCTAGAACATAGACTGCCCCAGGACCATCATCAAAGGGATGACAGAAATGCTTTTATTCTTCTCCACACAAAGATTTTAAAAAAAGTAGTAAAATTAATATTACTTATATATTAAAAGACTTATCAAGATTTTAAAAAAAGGAAAAAAAAAAAAAATTAAATATAAAATTAAAGTCGATAACAATGTTAAGAATATAGTCAGATATAGCACCAACTCAAGAAATAGAGAAAGAGAGAATTGGGTATGAGAGGCAGTAACTGACCAAGGTACACCTCCAAACAACTTATTTAAAAAAGCAAATCATGAGAAATTTGATTTCCCCCCAAAAATATAACTGAACTCTGAACATACTCCTCAAAGAAACAAATATTTTTAAAATACTCTTGTTTCTGTACATATTGAGTTCTTTAAAATAATTTATATCTAAGTGAATAAAGACAACCAAAATCAGAACATCGAAACTAATCTCTGTTCAACAGAAACTTTGTGAAACCTTTTTCACTCTCATTTGTACAATGGTTGAAGATATATGGCACAAAATTTGTCACTGAAACCTCCTCATTGTAAAAATTAATAAATATCTTGTACTATAGCTCGGTAACCTAGAAAAAAAAAACTGATAGCATTTTGGGAAGATTTTTCTCCTCAACACATCTTATACCCTCTTCCCTAGCTGCACTTGTGAAAGATGACTTGTAGTAAACTTGCTATCAATAGGCACCCTAGAAATGACAAGCTGATGGCACATCAGCCACAAAGAGGAGTGGAATTCAAAAGTATTTCTGCATGCAGCAACCTCCACACTAATATAAAATACTAACAAACATACAATAATTTCTGAAAATCTAGTCCACCTATTGAAGTTCATTATTATGCAAAAGATGTTACTGAATCATGAAAAATAAGAATAATGGTCAAAAGTTTAGAAATTAGAAGCGACAACTGTGAATTTGCCAATTAAACTTCTTTAGGAATTGAGATCTAATTTAGAAAGAGAAAGAAATTGAGAAGGCAACAAGTAGGGTTGACAGGAGTGAAATCATCCTAAATTCTGTACAGGTGTAGGTCAGTGCTTTTTCTAACATGCCAGTCCATATATCTAATTCTAAGATCAGAGACACACAAGCACACTTCAATGTACATTAAAAATGCATCCTTCGCAGAGTTTACAGACGTGAATGGGGCATTGGACACAAGCATGCTGCACAGCATTCACTGTACTCTGCATGTGAGCTCGGAGAACTGATGTCTTAGAAAATAGGGCCATTTATAACATCCATTGCATGACGCTTGTGTGCCTACAGCCTCAGAGTAAAAATTCATTAATTAAAAATATCAGCAACCAAACAGATTCCTTTATTTTATACCTACAAAATGCAAAATGATATTTGAGATATGATATTTGTAGCTGCAAACAACATACAGTTGAAATAACTATCATTCACAAAGTTTGCAAAAACTACTAGTTATTTAAATTTTCCCCACTCATATTCTTGACTAGCTTCACAACATGCAAAAGTCCTTCCGTAGCATAGATACCACGAGAGTTTAAAAAGATTTAGATAGAAATGATTTAAATGGAATGTTGATTTATACTGTGCTCTAGATGTTGTCTCATAAAATTAAACTGCATTCAATGCTCTCATCTTATCAATAATATTAGGTGTGTCTCTTTTCCTTTTTGCAATATTTACAAATTCAAATATAATTAAGTGACACTTCCAACTGGACAGCAAGTTCTACATATCAGTCAAAATGCAATAAACTATTGCTTAGTAATAACAATATTATTATATATGTGTATAAAAATCTGCATTTCAGTTGGAGGGTATATAGCTACCATCATTATCCAAACCCTATTTTGAATGAATTGTAGCACCGAGCATCAAGTACCTGAGAAACTGATGTAGTTTAACTACTTACATGCAACAGACATACTTATTTGATTTATAAAATCTTGAGCAACGTATAATTCATAGTTTCTACATATTTAGATAAGTAAAAGAAAATGTGATTTCTGAATACATGTCTAAGTGCAATTTCTTTCAGAAAGAAATTCATACTATCATTCTCTCAGATGAACAACTTTAATTCACTTCCATGTTTAATGTAAAAATCTAACATATTCATAAAACTTAACAGCAGATAAAATTTGTAAGTACATTATTCATCATATGAATATTCAACAATAATTAATTTGCATACAATTTTGTCGCTGATTTACAAGCATATTAAACTACATTTACACCCTGTATAAAAACTTCATTAAAAATTTTTTTCACACTCTAACATCTGATTCAAGTCCATGAGTTTGATAAAACTCTATGAGTAGCTGAATATTTGAATTCAATCCTTGTAGAAAATCATCTAAACTTCTCATTACACTTTCTTCCTGTCCCTCGTGGCCCAGTGACAGCGTTAACAGCAAATCAGATCGACATGGGCACATCCGAGATATTAACTAGATAAGAATTCAGGGCCATTGTCATTTATCAACATTCATTAACAATGTATTTCCTTTACATCTCTACAAAAAATCTTTCGAATAATTTTCATCTGAAATATCTTCACAACAAATTAATACTTACACCAAAAAGTTGTTGAGCCATCCATCCATGATATCTTTCAAGAGTTTCTTTGTATGCCTTTTTAAGAAAGGGAACTAGGTCTTCATCTCTTGTACCATCTCTGCTATCATTCAGTACACATTGAAAGAATTCATGGAAGAAATGTAGAGCTCTGTGAAAGGATCAAACCAATAATAAAATAAATTTGCATTAACTACCATTGTTTTGTTTTTTTTACAAATTTTACAACGTTGACAAAATGCAAAAAAGTAGAGATATTCTTACAATAAATTTAACCAATTCTGGAATTAACACAAACTCTTCTAACAGTAACACTATTACAGCAGTAACTTGGAGAACAATATGAACAAAAAAGAATGTATGGATAATGAACGAAGATTAGATGTATTTTGTCCCTTAAAATAACAATAAAACATCAATAAATACTAGTACTCAGTAATAGTCACAACAAACATCACAACAATCATCTTGTCATAAAGATGTATCTTCATCCACGGATCAAAATGATGTACCTTTTGGAATATTTTTAGATCTTTCAAAAACTTTTAACATCATTGGTAACAACATTTACCTTCAAAATTACCTTTGAATGGAATTTATAATATTGCTGTAGATTGGTTATGTTTAAACTTTAAACAATAAGGGAATCTTACACAATGATGACTTTCTCAAGGGTGGGAACTATTTTCAGCAACTACAGACGTCTATATTAGACACTCGTACAGAAGTCACAACAGACAATTTTAATATTCTTATATTAGAAGTCATTATGTTTAATCAAATCTTTTACTCTTCCTCATTCTGCTTTTTATTTTCTTCATTTTATTAAGTCAGAATATTTTAACTTTAATGAAATTTCTGGTATACTACAGAATAGTACAATGTTTTTATTAAAGAAAAGTTTTGCATAAAACAAAGAATTTGTGAAAAACAAAACTACTGATTTATCTTGATGCAAAAATTATTAAAATTTAATTATCCTCACATGATTCAAAATCTCTATTCTGTAGATTGAGCATAATAAGCAAACCCTATCAATAATTACATATGGCTAAAATATCATTACAGTCAATATTATTTATTTTAATTAATATTTTTTTATTACTTTGAAAATAATGTTGACAATAATTGTTTTTGTAATTTTACTTCAACATGCCATATTCAATTATATTTAGCTGCAATTTCCATAACGCAGTAATAACAGTGGATTTTATTCAATAGAAAGCATTGTTCAATTTAAAATATTCTTTGAATTAAACATTTAACTCAATCTTAAATTATTATATTATTCTCTAATTATTTTGTATATTTTACCATAATAACTATTATATCATTTAAAAATTATATATTTATCATAATATTAAATACATAATTTGAGTGTGATCTTGTAATTTTAATTATTATTTCAATAATTTTAGTCATTGGACATAAGTTCTTAAGTAAGGTACCATTTAGGTAAAGATTTAAAAACAATAACTCTGCAATCACAGAATTTCAAAAAAAGAACTCCCATCTGGGCAATTCTTAGATGCAGCTTCTGGGAAAATATATAAAAATACAATAAAAATTAAATGTAACATTTAAAACGTTTTAAAAATGAAAGGAAACACTTCAATTTTGTTGTAGAACATACAACAAATATAAAAGAAACTTCAAGCAAGAAGTCACAATAAAAGAGGTCAGCATTCAAGTACACATAGTCAAGAATTTGGGAGATTTTGCAAAATTAAATCCAATAGTTTTTACAGGCTGGTTGATGGCTGTACTGTGATGTTTAGAGCATTATTTTATTTTACATAACACTATTATATTAATATTAGTACAATTATACTATGATTCTAAAAAGAAGAAAAAAATGTATGTAATTCAATATTAATCTCTGTTAATATGACCCAGTCAAGTGTTGTAACATTGAAGCTTTAAATTAATAGAACGATACAAAATAAAATTACCTTCTTAACCATAACAGTGCGTCAGTAACGTGAATTCCACCGGCCTCTTTTTCGCTTAGTATCATATCATTTAGGAATTTGTACTTTTCAGTATCTGTGATGTACCTTTCAGACAATTTCTGCAAAAATTGTTAACCGTTCGTTTAACATACTCAAGTCTACTTTAGCACAATGCAACATAAAATTGCGTTTTCTATGAAACAAATGCGTAATTTTTAAATAAAACGCAAATTTATATGTACCTGTATGTTGCCGGACATGTCATATTTCACGGGAGCGAAGACTTTGCCAAATTTTTCTGCAATGATATAAACGCACTAACAAAACGTCTTAAAAAGATAAACAACACCAATTGTCACATACAATTACAGAACAACATTATTGTACTGTCAGAAAAGGTTCATATTTCCTCGTGTGGTTTCTTCAAAATTGACTTACCTACAAGAACAACAACGCCTCTGGAAGACTCCAAGAAGTGTGCTGTATTTATTTTCCCATCTAATATTTCTGGAAATGGTTGCTGCACAGCCGTGAAAAAATTTTTATTTTCTTCCGACAAAACACCTCCGTTAGAGGCAGACATATTTGGAACATGAAGACTGATGTAGACACGTGTATGCTTCACACACACAAACAAACACGAATCCGCACACCAATACCAATACTTTCGAGCTTGGAAAAACACATTCTTCCAATCACGGGCCACCGTGAATACTATACGTCGTATACCTATACGGCAAGCGGTATCTTCAAAACTCATGGTTTCGTTTCACACATTGGCACCTATTGTACACCCGGTCACAGCCATCGGCTAAATATTTTGAAATTGAAGGTGAATTGTAAAACTAACCAACCAATTGCCGAATGAATTTATATAAATTTAGGTAGTCGTACGCATATCTATAAACTAGCGGTTGATTCATTTCGAATATTTTGCAACTAAGTCCGAGCAAAGAGATACAAAAAATTACGCTTATTGTATTTTTTTCTTCCCACTGATTATTTGTAAAATTTTAAGAGGAAGATGTTAACATGAAATCAAATACATTGGAAATAAAAAATAAACATATGAACTTAAGTAATACATCTCATTAATAAAATATCTCACTCATAAAATTGTAGGACTAATTTATTCCTTTTTTCTCCTAAGCACAGCATTTGATGTAATTGTATAATACCATTTTCATTTTGTAAAATACTTTAGCTATAACACTAAACCATTAAAATATTTTGTGATAATCATATGAAATATAATTTAATGTCTGAAGTATTTGTTAATACAGCTATTTATGGTAAAACATTTTGTTTGGTTTAACTTACCTGTTGTTCTAACCAAGATTTGTTTTTTGGCGAGTCCATGATCATGTATTATGCTCTATAGAAGGCAGTTTCAGAGATTGGCTAAATATACCTCTTAGATAAGATAATGGCAAATGTTTCTGCATTATCTGCAGTGTCAGCACTGATAAAACACCAAACAATTTAATTGTACTATAATATTACTTACTTAAATCTAATACTTCACAATTTGATAACTTCCGAGTAATTTCCTTCTTTTAACAAGACATCTGGTGATAGCCCTGAAATCTTTTTGAACTTGATATATTTAAAACAGTGACTTTTAAAAGAATATGCAAATCAAAAATACCTGGAAAGGCTGAAAAATTTCCTCTTCAGTTGATTTAAAGCTGGATAAACAACTTTTATTTCCTATCAAACTACTCTTTCCTTTTCTTTATAATGTAATAATATATGTATTATTTATATATTAAATAAAAGTGAAAAATAGGAAACAATATTATATTAAAATAGGAAAAGTTACTAACAAATCCAAGAGAATAACTTTTATTTATTCAAGCTGTTTTATTTTTACATATCACATAGAATGACTGAACTCATGCATTAAAAAATGCATGACTTAACTTTTTAAATACTAAAAAAAGACTGAAAAAATACACATACACATATTTTAAAGAAAATTATACACTCTATAACACTTCTGTTCTACTAGAAATACTGTATTGTCGAATAATCTATGACATAAAAGCAGTCTTTACATAAATAAATAACTAGCATTTAATCACTACTACATTGTGCATCATTCAGTAATACAATGAATTGAGATTCTTTCAATTTTTTAACTTATATTGAACATGAAACCACAATTAAACAAGCATTTTACCTTCCATTTTCTTTTTTAATAATCATCATGAGTTTTTGGCCAAGTCTCTCACAAAATACTTACATCATTTAAGTATTTCACTGATTTTCTCTTCTCTTTTCACCCTCTTTTACACCTGAGAAAAAGTTTAAAAAGTGTGTCCACTTTCATAAAAAAAAAAATACTGAGAAGAACTGTTGCAATCTTATTTCATTTTATTAATGACAAAAAAATCTTGTTGATGATCTTTTCTCAAAACTATCATGTATAGTTAAATGTCTCAATATTTCTTATGAAACTACTCAATTTCATGTAAGTACTATAAAAAGTCTTCCAAGAACAGTGCTATTTCAACTATTCTAGGTCTAAAAAATTATAGTTACAGGCACTTGATTGATGTTCTACATCATTCTAGTACAGGACAATGTTCTCTATGCAATATGACAAGTCTCAAGAGAAGGGTAGGTATCATATTAGTCAACACTCAAACAAGAAACATAAGGCAGTGAAGAAAAGAATGTTCAAATAGAAATGTAATTCTATCTATGAACAATATCACAATATATGACTGAAGAATACATTTCAATATTTTTCTATTTAATAATTTGAAATTTACCTTGTATTAGTCTTTGGTGAAAGGGAAAGCAACAGCACTTTAGGCTATAATACCTCTACATATTCCCACATATACCATGGAAATCTTACTTCTTGGACTTGGTATATTGAAATTGGAGCATAAAATTCCAAGTATGGACTATAGGGAAGTGAGCATTTAAAATAAGGGAATAAAGAACTCTATGAGGTAGGTTTATAAATCTCCAATATTCAGACTAATGAATGTTTCAAAATATTTCCTACAGTATCTTCCACCACTATCAAGCAGGAACCTTCTGGCTTCAATTCCATTGAGAGAGGTAATGAATCTACCCCATCAGAAAATTCATATGAGAGCAAGATTAATCCAGAATCATCTCTTACTTCAGCTACACATATTCCACAAGAAGAGATAATAGAATTCCTGAAAAAAACAAAACGTCTAAAATAAGCTCATTTTAAGAAAAGATCTCATTTTCACTCCTATAACCTCCCAAAAGGAAAGAAATGAATATGGTATATGTTGCTGCAATGTGATTGCATGTGTAATGAAAGCATTTTCAGTATTTTTAAAAGGCAACAGAGCAAATAATACTTTTTCACTTAGAGCTATATAAAATTAAATACCTAGTACATTTGCAGTTGCTTTAAAATGGGATAATTCGCTTACCTATCAGGATCAAACAATAGCACATCATGACTGCTGTTTGCAAACTTTTCTGAGTTAAACCACCTAACAAAAACAAAACACATCAAAATATTTAGTTAATGTGCTTCTGCCAAATATTAAGTAATTTGACCATTAGTGAAGAACAAAAAACATCTTTAAATGAAGGAATACACTCAATATCCTCAAGTCAATTCTTATATATAAATGACTAGAAAATATGTTATACAGACATTTTAACAAAGCATTACTGCAATTAAATTTAGGAACCCTTCACTTTCAATGAGACAGCCCATACATTCAATTTTCAATATAAAAGAATGTTAAAGGAATATGCTAAAATTACAGCGATGATAATAACAATCACATACCCACACTTAACAATAGCTAAAATGTAAAAATAAATAAATAAATAAATAAATAAACCAAATAAATAAATGCATGGAAATTCAGATATGATACATGCTGAAAGAACTTAACAAAGTTATAGAACCATTTCTATAATAATACTTGCATGTTTGTTTGAATTGCAATTCCACATTTCCCTATTAAAAAACATGTTTTCAGTTTGGGCACTGTACTTTATAAGTTACAAAGATGACGTAAAAGAGGTTCTCATGTTTAATTCTCAACATCATTGCTCCTTAACATATTTTTGAGTTGAAGAGACCACGTTGTAGGAATGTTCAGGCAAAAGAAACAAACCACAACAACCTTTGAATTGCAATCTTGAATTAAAATAACCAAAACAAAAGGTATCTTTAAGGACTTTTGCAGTCTGGGGACCAAACTATTCATGTACATAAACTAAAAATTATTAATTAATAAAAAAAAGTATGTAGATCTTTAAGTAAATATGATGATGGATGATGATGATATTAATGAAACTGTATAGTGCAAATATTAAACATTGTTAGTATTAATTATTGAAATCTTAGAAGAAGAAGAAAAACATTGTCAAAGTTGTGCTCATTCAATTAAAGTGATCTGGAATAAGAGCATGAAAAAATTTGAGACAGAAGAAAATAATTTTATTTAAAACATAATAATTGTAACAAGGGTAGAAGGAAAGACCGAAAAATTTGTCTAATATTAGAACGGCTTGCAAAATCTTGCTTACTTCTGATGGAACACAGAATATAATATATTATGTTAAAACTTTGTCCTACTATCAACATCAAAATTAATTGGTTTCAATGAAAATTAGAATTTTAGCAATCAACAGTCATTTTCACATGCAATTTTAAAAGCAATGTGAATGCCAAACCAGTGTAGACTTGCCTGTGATGATTTAATAATGTAGCACAACTTTTTGTCCAAAATGTACAGTCTCCATTACTTTTTGATAATCTTCTAGCATTAGTGATCACTGAATGATCTTCAGAAATTGCAGAACATGCTTCGCCAGAATCATTTCTGCACAACTCTGAGTCATCTTGCATTACTTCACTGGAATGAGAACTACAGCTGTCTGAGGAATCATAACTACTTTGAAGCACACATTCTCTTCTAGGCCTACTGCAAATACGTTTCATTGGTGATGCAACTGAATATGAAACGTTCAAAATTTTTGACAAAGAAACAGTTGAATGTTGTGGTTCTTCTTTGCAAACCGGACTGATCACATTTCTCGAATTGCCTCGGAGATGATTGTTATTTTGAGGAGGTAATGCAAATACAAGATCCAAGTTGTCAAATCCACGTGCCATTATGCCTTCTGAAGAGTGACCCAAATCAAATGTATGTCCTAGTTCATGGCACACAGATCCTAAAGTTGTGGCATAACAACCTCCATATGTCCCTCTGAAAAATAATATAAACACAAATGTAACATTTCACATTTTAGATTAACCAACATCTACTATCAATATTTTCAGTATGTAAAATTGGAGATTAATGATATGAATATTTAATTCAATATGTATTAATACTCATAAATGAATTCTTAGAAATTGTATTTTATTTATTGAAGTTTATTTGCCAATAAATATGAATTTAGTATAAGTAAATAATATGCTATATAAGAGAAAAAAAAAAGCATTACACAGCAGAAATTCAGAATAACCCATTCTATTGAAAATCTTAAGTTTTAATAATGTAAAGTGAAAACAGCACGTTTTCAATCTGTTTGTTGGAGTATAATTTGATGAATTTGTTAATATTAATGCAGATCATTTATTTTATTAAGAGTCTATACAAGAATGAATGAATATAAAATTTTCTTTGCAATTAATGTTCTCCAAATACTTTGTACACTGAATACTGGATGATTATAAAATATAATAAAGAAATATTCCTAGACTTGAAAGGTAAATTAAGACAATTGCTAGGGGATGTTACTATTTATTATGTTACATTCAAATTAAAATTTACAATAGCACTTTTCAGTTGCGGCTTATCATCTCATTTTAAAGAGACAAACAACCTATCTTTGTGCACTTTAAAAGGCGTGCTGGAAAAGGAGTAAGTGCACAGAGGAGATATAAAAATTGAAAAGGAGTGGCAGAAAGTACCCAAACTATTGTAGTAATAATAGTTACTACAATATTTATAATAGTACTGTTTTTAGATTGTAATTTGAATTTTTAATAATTATTTTAACCTAATCTCCCAAGCCCTCAATATTATGAATACTCCTTTATTAAAACTGCAGTCATGGATTTTGAAGCCCCAATAAAAATATATAATGTACAAATAATATAATTAAAACTTTATGTTTCACATTTTCATGAAAACAATAAACAATTATTTATTATTATTATTATTATTATTATTATTATGATTATTATGATTATTATGATTATTATGATTATTATTATTCAATCACAAAACAAAGCTCATGGTCAACAAAGAAGTCAAGAAGAGGGCAAGGCAAATGAGATGCCAACCAACACAGCATTAAAGGTTTCTGAACAAACTACTTTATACATTTCTTGAAAAACAATACACCTTTGAAATACAGTAGTTATTAAAATACAAACCCTGTCTTTACTTCTTATCATTTAGGCTCAATCATTTATTTGTACCAATATCCCTCAAAAACTGGGAATTTAAAGAGTAGTTTCAATTTTCTTGGAGCTTGAATTTAAAATATGCTGTGTCAAAATTCTAAAAAAGCATACCCTCAAAGATACATAACAGGCTAATTTTCATCAACATTTCCCCGAAAATTACTGATAAAAAGCAAGTGCAATCCTAAAGTAAAGGATACTGATGTAAAATTCAGTAAGCATTCCCTTATTATTAACCATGAAAATATAACAATACACTAAGTGATCTCCACAAATTTGAAATTACCTGTAACAACTGTCATCCATAAAGTGCTGAGCATCAACTTTATTGATATTCAGCAAACGAGGAATCACCTCTTCTATTCTTGATGCCCATGTGTGGAGACAAGCTGAACCAAATAATGCTAACCCTCCACCACCCAATGCAACATAGGCTTCAGTACATGCAATCATTTCATCATGTGTTGAAGGAAATTTGTCAATGGACTTTGGATTGTATCGAGTACACGACAGAAAAGCTAAAAATTTACGATCCTGACGACCTAAAGGGGACATCATTAATTCCCTGCCAAAGTATTCCCATAATTCTATTCCCTTCATTTTGCGTGCCTGTTCTACATCTAACTGACTATGGAAGACATGACATTCAGGAGAGGAGGGATTTAGATCTTGCTCTATTTGGAAGGTTTTCCTTTCAAATCCAGCTTCCTTTAATTTTTCGGCCATTAAACACTGAATTAGTCTGGTTCCAAGGGTTATACGTTGACAAGCACTCTGCACAGTGTTATCTTCTGATGCAGGAGCTTGAAATTGCCCATCATGATTTTTGCATATTATGTATACAGGAATTACATGAAAACTGGTGTTTCTTGGATGGTAGGTCAACATAAATTCTGTTGTCGTTCCACAGTATTCCAGTATAATATGATTATTTCCAGTAGATAAGTGAGCAAGACTTTTAAATTCACAATTGACGACAGGCCAATTCGTCACTGTTGGTCTTTTATCATGACTGGAGTATTGCCTCATCTGCAATTTTGCTTCAGGCCACCGGCACGCTGAGGGCTGATTCCGCATCGATACATGGCCCTTCAACAAACATAGAGGATAGCAAAGAGCATCCCCACTCTTTATGTTTGTCACAGTTATACTGTGAGCGTCAGCTCCGCAGCTCGTTCTGTCAGAATGGGTCAGCACCTGAAAAATGCATTAATGCGCATGAACTCGTGGGCATCTGCAATGCGGATAACTGGGTATGCCAAGGTGATGGTTTTAACACAATCGTAGCAATAATTAAAATCATCCCTTAAAACTCACCATATTGAATTTGAAAATAATACTGTTGCTTACACAACTGCAATCGTTTATAAGAACGCTGAAATAATGACATGAAGCACTCTCTTCACAAACACACACATAACCTCAGCAGCGTCCGAATTGTTGACATGACATATGAAGTTTAAAGGGAAATCCTGTAGTAGCGCTGACTGAGACACACTAGTGCTATCTGAAAGGCAAAATATCAACTAAATTACATTTGTCTGTGGCCACTAGAACGCGCTAAGCGTATCTGTATCGAATTTCAATTTCGCAAATGGCAAAATTCATTCACCCATTGCCCCTGACTTGCAATCAGATAACACGCAGCGCAGAACAAAGATAGACGGGGGGTTTTAATATAGTGCAGTTCCTCAGTTAATGGATACTTGTTACCGGATGAATAAATAAATAAATAAATAAATAAATAAATAAATAAATAAATAAATAAATAAATAAATAAAATGAAACATACGAAACAAGAGATGCTGAATTGCGCACACTTTCTCGTTTTATCGGTATCGTTTATGTAATATTTTAATACTACTTGCGTTTCAGCCGATACTTGAAAAACTCGAAATCAAATAAAGCGCAAGAATTTAAAAAGTACATACAATTTTAAAAAGTCGTAAGTTTTAATGAAAATGACTACTTGACATTGAATTTAGCATGTTCTATGTCTATCTTTGCATACAATTTAAGGAAATTAAAAAAAGAAATGATGATTTGCTTCGGCAAGGTGTGTGCTTGTGAGTCGATGGTCAGTTTTCATTAAGTCATTTGTAAACTAGGTAATAATATGTCGAAAAAAGTATACATGAAATGAATTAAACATTTAATATTGAGGAAACGTCACCATTAAGGTATCTGCAGTATCAATGTTCAAATTAGTGTATAACCCGGAAAAGTAACAGAGAATGTTTAATTTTTGAAATTCTAGAAATTTCAGAGAATTTAATGAAAATTGGACGAATACCCAATTTGTACGTTCACTTTTCACTTTTCGAGAAAATCTTTAGGAAAATCTTATTTACGTATTTTTCGAAATTTCTCACTTCAAAATGACTCCAAAAACCCTCATGTATTATAAAAATTTGTTCATGATATATAAAAATGTCATTTTGAACAATATATTTTATTACACAAATTTTCAATTTGTAATAATATTCTAGATGCAAAAGTAATATTTTAAATGCAAAAGTTTTAATGGAAAAGACACTTGTGATTTATAATTTACAGAAAAATCCACTATTAGTACAAGAAGTATAAAGCAAAAATGGAGCATCTTTTGATTAATGCTTAACTATATTAACTAGTTAACTTTGTTAGTTAGTAGTATTTATTAACAATTTCACAAAAAACACGGTTAAATCGAAAAAATGAATGACAAGATTTAAAATGTAATTTTGAGGAAAATATTTCATTAGGAAGGCGAAGATTCATCACACTTTCAACGTAATTTCTCAAAAATTCAAATGTTTTAATAAAAATCGGGAACATTTCTCAAAAGAATTTGACGTCATTGTTTCTAATATTTTAATTTCAGAATTACCTTCGTGAGGGATTCGTGCTCTAGATTGGTTATGTCCGTACCTTAAACAACGATCTCAGAGAGTAGAAATCCACTACTGGAATGAAGGAACATTATTTACGTACCTTTCCGAAGTATTACGAATTGCACCTGTGGTCCCGTTGGGTTCAATTTTAGGCCGTTTCTCTTCCTAATATAAGTAAATGATATACCCTTGGCAATTCGAGACGAAAAACCAGTTCTCTTTGCTGTGGTACGGATATTCTTTGCAATAAAGAAACAGTAACTGGTACAATATTTGTTTCAAATTGGTTCCGTAATAACAAATTAATAGTAAACGAAGGGAAAATGATTTCAATACAGTTTTCCATTTCAAATAACCAATTGTACACTCCATTGATTATGAACGTTTTGACTACTGTTAAGGCAACATAATTTTTGGATCTCTTAGTTTAGTCAAACTAAAAATTGAACAACCATTAAAATCCCACCCACGTGATTCTTGTAAGCATCTCTTTATTACATTAGCTATTAGCTTGAGATGTAGCTTCACTATTAACACGATTTGTTGCGCTCTCTTTTACGTTTTTCCAACCGTAGTATAGAGAAAGTATTGAAATGCTACAGGGAAAAGTACAGATATTTCGAGATAAAAACTCGTTTCGTGGGCCTCTTATACTAAAAAAGTGGATTTTTGTTGCTCTTTTATATTGCAAATCACTTTATCGTACGTGCGTACAGGTACGGACAAGTACGGACAGGTACAAAAAATTAAAAACAAAACAACCTGTTTATTAAATAAATAATAAATATTTATCAAAACCTTTTGATGTCTTTTCAATTTTAAAAGTAAGTGTAGTTGTCCATATTTTTATAAATGAGTTAGATTCCTCAGTACTCTTCGTGTTAATAGCTATTAATTTGTCTTGTCTCTGAAACAAGTC